TACCGTAACAACAAAACAACAGAAAAACTGAAAAACACACAAGGGAAGATGAGGGAAAAAAGCAAAAACATCATATTATATCAACACTGTGACACACTATGGTGTTTATGAAAAAAAAACTCTTCATAGGGCAGATTCTAGATGAGCTAGCGTTTACACCCGAACGGCATTCCACAGATTTTTGTGTCAAGAGGTTTGCTATAAAATGCTTGCAGCGATACATCTCTAGTCTGAACCTTCTATTGCACACAAAAAAGGAACGTATACTTCCTGCACAAGTATTTTTATACACTGTAAAAGTCTGGGTGTGTTAACTGACTGAAGAGTTCAGATATGAAGCATTTTGGCTCTGTAATATGATGAAAACACCCAGCAGATAACTATCTGCATGTTACTCTCTGTCTGAGATTAAAAGAAAACAGAAACATTCCCCCTTAAAGAAAATACTTTTTTAAATTATGCAACATTATTTTGTCAGCTGTTGCTTTAAAGCACTGAGCAGGCCATCAACGTCAGACTTCCGTCTTTTAGCAACCAGATCCAGATCCGTTCTGGAACTGGCACCTGGCAGCATAACATCTGGCTTTTAAAGGGAATAGGAACTGCCATTTCCTGGCATGAGTCACACATGCAGAATCTCCTGCGTCTGACTGGACAAGGCCCAGGCTCAGACAGGAACACAGAACCTAAATACAACGGCAGCTGCTGTTTCCCAGAGTTGGGTTTCTGCCTGATGTGGATCGCACATGGACAGGAGAATTTTCTACTAGCATGAAGACCGATGGTGTCCTTTTAGACAACTCRTTAGCACCACGTCATTTTTATTCTACATTTGTCCTAAATAGTTTTATTTTCAAAAGATGTTTTGCTTGAAATTCCATTACTGATCAATTGAATTATTTCTAAAATATTGATTAAATTGGCAAAACTTGCTGACTGGGCTGTTGTACCATTTCGAGACATATTCTGAGTACAGGTGACGAACATCAGACAGTGATTCCCAATTAGTGATAAAATATTGGAAACAAAGGTTAATCAGCATAATAGACAGCCTGTTCTGCAGGATTCTCTCAGTGCAAGACAGTTCAGGATGTATGTTGCTGCTATGTGAAGAACATACAAGCAGTGAGCTTTGCACAAAACACTGCTTTTTAACAACACAAAAGACAAAAAGAGTTAGAACATAGCACACAAATGTGAAACAAACCTGAATGACGTAAAGCCAGAACAGCTGTCGAAGTGTGCA